TTAAATCAACAATTTTGGATCAAAATTATTTTTTACCAGTTCTTATTGCGACCCGGAGACAGTTTTGATCGTAATAACTGTCGCTGTTCTGTTCTGGACATTTTCATTTTTATTTTTAGGAACTTTACGGTAAATAAAGATATTGTGCTTAGGAAGAGCCTTAATTTAACTGTACCGCTGGATCCAATTGCCGTCGTTTATTTCCTTCATTTGAAGTGTCGGAGTGAAGAAGTAGAATGCATCAGTAAACAGAGGCAAGCTTTTTATGAGTTTGTAAACTTTTCATAATTTTTAGTCTCTCCATAATCTGAATGCTAAAATTGGTTGGTGATTTTTATCAAAATTGAGGGGTGGAACTTATTATGGGAAATTTTAAAAAATGCTTGCTCAATAGATTTGTTAGAATAAGTAAGTGCTTGTTATAACAATCGGAATTCGGAAATGATGACAGTTAGAAAATGATGACAGTTTGTCGCTTTATGTAATTTCCTCCATATAATGGTTTCCAAGCTTTCTTTTTTCTTCAAAAATAAAACGCGAAAAAATTTTACGATACAATGATCAGAAAACGGAGTCTCAAATACATAGAATTTCGTTGATTTTCCAGAATAAAATTAATATTTTGTATAAACAATATCGTGTTGTTAACAAAATTTTGTAATCGGAGGCATTGCCAGATCAAACCTTTTCAAACTGATCTTTTTTGGTATTATTTCATTTCTTGCAGCTTTCTTCCTTGCAAAAATTTTTATAACTATTACGGGCATTCAGTATATGGCCTGCGATAAACTCAACAGTTTATGCAAATTTTTTTTATTGAAATGAGCATTTGCTAATTTATTCATGGGCGGATACTCTAATACAGTCATCCAATACAAAATACGGTCTATTAGTTTTTATCTTATGGGAGAAAGGAGTGGAAAAATAATGAATTTTTCAACAATTCAGAAGCTTTTTGCTCATAGTCACAAGTTGAATTTATTACGGTGGTTCCAAAGCGATGCATGGTAATTTTTCTGAAGCCTCCTGAAAAAGGTTGATAGTGTGATCACTTATAGCGGATGGAAAGCGAATGATAGACAATAAATTTTTCTGTTTCCCTTCAACAGTTTTCTAAGAAATAAAGTTCGTTGTGTTAGGACTGCTTTACATATTGATGCCTACTAGCCGTGTAACCTTCTGTCAGCAGTCACTAACTATCCAAGAGATTGTTAGATTGTTTTCATTTGTACATAAATTTACTTTTGAAAATCATACAAAAAAGCCAAGGAGCAGTTTAAGGCTACTACGAAATGAAAGGGTGTTTCGTTTCATTATTGTACCATACTTTAAGGGTTGAGGAAGGTTAAATAATTTTGAAGTTTTTTTTACGTCGTGCTATCAAATACTCAGGTCAGGACCTGAGCTAATTGTGTTGTTAAAAAATTACTGTACCTGATGTTTTTTAAGAGACTGCGGTTGACGTCGCACGAAAACAGGGTAACGAAGATGTCAACTTTCTTATCGGTTAGTGAGGAAAGGAATCGTTGTTTTCCACTGACAAATTTTCACTCTTTCTTTTCTGCCTACAAAATGGACGATGTTACCAAAATTACTTAAAGAATTACAATTTCGTTCATTCAAAAAAATATCTTTTTATCTGAAACAGCAGGCGAAAAGTGTTCATTTTTACAGATTAATTTGTATTTAGAGTTTTCAGAAGTTTTAAATGATCAGATAAGCGGAAATTTATCTCAGTTCAGTCTATTTTTCGATTAGTGTTTTTTTTGCCATGCTCATTTTCGCTTCCTTGCCGACTCGCTTTGTATCTTAAAGACGGCAATATGTTTACTATAGCGCTGTTCCTGCTCTATGATATTCTAAAAAAGGCAGTCGAAAAGTCCCTATTGAATTAATTACGTTTGCGACAGAAGTCGGCAGTGGTAGACAGGCCGCCGTCTTCGAGTGCAAAATCGGCAATCAAACACTAGCTGCAAAGAGGGTAGACGACCGAGAGATAATAATGATTTATAAACTTCTTCACTTAGGCCATGCAAACTTGGTCCAGTTTCTGTTAGTGTCACAGGCAATTCGTTTAAAGCTTTTTATTAAATGGTAGAGTAAGGGCTATGGAAAAGCTTATGCATGTTCACTTACTACAAATATCTTTCCAGTGGGTTTTCTACCAATGAATTTGGTACCTACGTATTAATGGTTTGATTTGCGTGTAAGGCTATAAGATATCTGTTAGCTGCTATGGTTCTAAACGAAAAAACTCAAAATTGTCGAAATTCTTCACAATTTTGAGTAAATCTCTTGAACTATTTTTGATTGTTAGAGTACTGTTGCTTTTCAGATTGACATATGGAGTTTTGGAGTGGTGTTGTGGGAAATTTTGGTGAGGGTGAAACCTTACGGTGAACTGAGTAGATTTCAACTTTTATGGCTAGTAGAACAGAAATATGTTTCAGCAAACTATTTTTTTTTTTACCGTTTGAAGAGGTAAACAAAGAAAATTGTTATACGTCTAAAAAGAAACGAGCAAGTTTTTGCAGGCAACTTGCTCTTCCACTTCCGGAGAATTTACTTCCTGAATTAAAGAACTTTTTAAGCGATTGTATGAAAGAAAACCCCAAAGAACGGCCATCGTTTACAGAAATTCTCACTTTTTTTCTTCTCTAAAAGTACCTTTTTATACTTACTGCTACTTTGAAATAATCTCAGTTTGTCTTGATTTTATTTGAAAAATATGATCTTATTAAAGTCATGCACATAATTGGTTGCACTTATTATTAAGACGCGTTGCAGGATAGTGCCACATTGAAAGGCCTTAGTGAGGACGAATGGTCTGAATCGTGTCTCCAGTGGCGGAAATTTGCGGACGAAAAAATGAAAAGAGTGAATGAGAGGGAGATTTAGAAAGCCAAAAAGCCTGATTAATTAGTATATTATGTAACAACGAAATTTACAATAAACTGGTAAAGCTTCTATGCTTCTTTACACGATATTATGATCGTCTATCAAAGGCAGGCTGATTTTGCTACAGAAATGTAAAGTCTTAAGAATTAAAGTAAAATCATCTAGTTCTCTGCAATTAAGGCCTAAGAGAATAACTGGAAAAACTTTGTAACAGCTTCAATTAGAAGACCGAAAATTGGCGAAGGACGACAGAATGAC